GCCCACTGGAAATTAGTTGCATGAGAGCTCAGACATTGCTTTGCTCTGCTCCCTGCTCTATTCTAGTGCTTCAGAACATGGCCTGGCCCCTGGACTTGGGCCTAGGGACTCTGGACCCCTTTCAGCAACCTTGCAGGAAAGGAAACAGTGTCTGAAAGGGGAAGTAAACTGTATTAAGAAAATAACTAGCATTCAGAAAGGGGAGGCCTAATGGTGCTATTAGGATGTTACAAGTGGCGTGTTTACATCATTGTGACCCACAGTACCCCTCCCATCACCACCGTGAAGTGCTCTGTCCCTCTGGGACTCTGACGTCTCCTCTGTAGGAGGAGCAGTGTGGGGTCTCTGAGACATTAGTGCTAATCTCTGCTCTCCCACTTGCTTATTCTGGAGCCTACAGGAAGTTGCTTGACCTCTCTGGGCTGCAATTTCCCCTAGGAGGTGGGGAGGCCCTGCAAGCATTCTGGTGTGGCTGGGGAGTGGGCAGGTGAGACTGGTGGGCTCAGCAGATCCCTCAGTTGGTCAAGCTTTCAGAGACACTAAGTGTGTGCTGTGTGTGCCTGACTGTGTGCACACATGTGTGTATGCTAAAGTGCACGCTGGCCTGCGTCTCAGCACAGAGCTCTGCCCTCCAGACATCATGGGACATGGCATGGGGTTGGGGAGGAAAAGCTACCAGAAGCTTCCTTGAAGGAAGACAGATGTGGGTTGGGGGGTGATCAACACAGAGACGGAGGTCAGGCCAGGTCAAGAGGTGAGAGAGAGGTGCTTCAGAGGTGAGACTGGGGTGGAAGTGAAAGCCTGCACCCACCTCAGACACACTTGACACAAAGGGGGAGAGGCTCACACCCATCAGACTGACCCAGGAATGTACGTGCACACACACACCCACACATGAACACACAGGCTGGCACATGCCCGCCCCTCCAGCCCCACACCAGCTGCCCATAACAGTTCTTTGTTCTGAACCTCACCGCCACTCTGCTTCCCAGCTCACACTGCACACTCGACTAAGTGCTGCCTTCCTGCCTTCTGGCTTGGGCTCTGCCTTGGGCTTCAGAAAGCATCTGGGGCCAGTCCTAGGACCCTCTCCCTTGCTGCCATCTCCTTATAGAAGGGGCTTCTCCTTGTCTTCTCTGGCTCATGGTGGAGCATTATGGGTTAAATTGTGTCCCTCCCCGAGTTCATATGTTGAAGTCCTAACCCCCAGGACCTCAGAATGTGACAGGGTCTTTAAGGGGGTAATTAAGTTAAAATGAGACTGTGAGGGTGAACCCTAATCCAAAACGACTGCTGTCCTTATAAGGGGAGATTAGGACACAGACACATGTGGAGGGAGGATGACATGAAGACACAGGAACAAATGGCCCTCACCAGGAACAACCCTGCTGGCGCCTTGATCTCAGACTATCAGCCTGCAGACCTGGGAGAAAGTTAATTTCTGTGGTTTAAGCACCCAGCCTGTGGTACCTCGTTCTGGTGGCCCTAGCAAACTAATACATGCGGATTGGCTATTTCTGCCCCTCACAGCCTCAGTTTCCCCAGTAAGATGTAGAGACACCATACATCGGAGATGAAGACAGGCTGGGATCATCCAGCATTTGTACATTGGGATAATGATGGTGACTAAGGTGTGCCCAGCTCTTCCCGGCAAACCTGGTCCCGGCCGGATGATGCCTAGCAAGCGACCCTTCCTATGTGAGCTGGAACAGCTCTATCCTCCCCACAACTGAAAGCGACAAAGGGATGAATAGAGGCTTCACTGGCCCTACAGGAGAGCATCCGACCCATCAGGACCTGAGAGAAAGCTTGCACGTGGCATGGGGTGTGGGGTCCCCTCATCCTTCCATGCTCAGCTCAGGCATTGCTTCCTCCCTGAAGCCTTCTCTGATACCTCTGACTGCCACCACCCTAGGCAGACAGCTCCTCTTCCTCTCTGCTACTGCTTTGCTCTGTCCAGCTCCGGCCACAACGGATCCAGAGACAGCCCTAGAGCGAGTGAGAACAAATGATCGAGGAACAGTCCCAGTAGTCACTTCTATGATTGTTCTCCTGGGGCCACGGGACACAGGCTCCTGTACACCTTTGCCTGTGCAGAGGTCTCTCAAGCCACTTCCACCACCAAAAGGCTCATACTTGTGGTTTTTATACCTTTGCTTTTCCAGCTGGACTGGGATATGGCAGACACGGGGGCTGAGCAGCTTTGTTTAGTACAAGGTGTGGCACAGAGTGTGTGCTTATCAATTGTCGGTTCTACCCCTTTATGAGGCTGGCAGTACCTGCTCAGGGCCAGTGGCAGGATAGAGCCCCCTCTCTTTTCATCTCGGGCTGGCTCTAGTTGTCTGGGAGCACAGCAGGGGCCCCCTGGCCACCCCCAGACAACCTTCTCCCCAGGGGCAGAGGCCAGCCACCCCTCACCTTATTGAGTGCATATGTGAATCTTTGTGCCAGGCAGGCTGGGGGTGGGGGCGCCTCTGGCCATCTCCTTGCTTCTAATCAAGATCAGATGCCTCCCGCTTCTACTTCTAATTGTCCCCAAATTAAAACTAATCGCTTGCAAATCAGAAAAAAAAAATTGTCGTTAGCCTTGGTGAGTTTGAGGCTGAGGGGCACAGCAGGGCATGCCAGCAGGGCTCGAGGGCACTGGGCCGCACTGGCAGGGGGCTTGGCATGCTCACCTGAGAGTGTGTGTGTGTGTGTGTGTGTGTGTGCACATATGCAGGCCACACCAGATGTCAGTGTTTGGGGATCCTTCAGCACTTGCTCCTGAACTTGCCTAAATATAAGCATTAGCTGGAGCAAACAAACCAGTAGCAAGCAATGCCTTAGGACATACCCAGCCTTAGACAACCAGAATTTCCAGAGTAGAGACCTGTAATCTGTGTGTTTATCAAGCATCCCAGGTGTTGTAATTTATGCAGAAGTTTGGAGAACAGAGCTAAGTCAGAAGGGGTGATGAAGGTGCAGAGAAGCTGTGACTTGCACAGCATAATGTCGGCAATGCTGACAGTTAATAATGACAAGTGTCCAGAGCCTAGACTTGTGCCAGGCCCATACAGGTG